ACAATCCAGCAACTGCTCACCTGACTGGCAATGAACGCTTGCGGAAATGAAATTGAACCAAACTAGAAAATCACAGCCTTCCTGAAATCACAGCAGTGAACACACGCTGAAGTGGGTCCACCACGGCGCAAGTGATGACAAATGGTGTGTGTGCACTCAACACGTGCAGGATGGACAATGCCATTAATAACCACACAGCCGGACACCGGCGGTTGGGTCTCCATGGGAACAGAGGTGATACTGCACCACTGCTCTTTAACGGATCTTTTAGTATTATTATTTCTATCTTCAAGAAGAGAGAAATGATTAAATTCAATTACGCATCACGTTGGAGACAGAGAGAGTGGGGTTTGGAAGAGCCTTTGTCCGACTCACTGTCAGGGAGAAAGGAGGGTGACCCGCTGTGGGGGACGGGCTGCTGCTCGGGGAGGTGACCCCCATATCCAGCTTTCCTGCGTTTTTGCGACTGCTCAGCCTGGCACCGAGCCTTGCAGCATTTGTCACAGGGACTGACTTCCAGGCTTCCATCGTTTTACAAAAGCCCATGAGGGGCTCATGCACCCAGTCCCCTCATCAGGTGGGTGAGGACACTGGCGGCCAGATGCAGCAGTCTGGCTCAGTATTTGAAATGAGATTGAAAAGAGCTCAAAGAGCAGCTGCAGGTAGCAGTATAAGACGGTAGACCAGAGCCACCCTCGCCGGCCCCTCCCTCACCCAGAGCTACAGGTTCTCTGCCTCTCAGACTTCCCCTCAGCGGGTGGCGGAGGCGCAGGTCCTGCCAGGGTGACGGTGGCTCTTGTCCTTCCCTCTAGGGGCCCCTGCGCGACTCGGCGGCGGGAAAGTGCTACTGGCTAATACGTGCTTCTCAGAAGCTCCCTGATAGCCGCAGCGGACGCCAGACCTTGCACCCTGTGCCGCCTTATGCTTTTGACTGTATGAATTCAGCTGCCGCGTGACAGCGACTCAAGTGGGCCCAAGGAAATGGCAACGTGACCCCAGCAGGTCGGGGGTGCGGCTGCCGTTTCATAAGTCACGCGGCCCGTGCACCATGTCTGAGACCCAGCAGGTCCCGGGTAAATATCAGAGCAGTGGGGGAGCCAGTGGAACTGTCTCTGCTGACGCACACGATGCGGTCCAGAGGGAACAGGTGACGGGCCCACAGCAGTACTGAACTCCCGTGTCTTAAACAGCTAGCTCGAAAGCCTCATGAAAGGAATGTGAGGATACTTTAAGTCAGCAAGAGTATGTTTGAAGCAAGGGTCAGGCACAAAGAAGCCAACAAAATGCAGTCGAAAGGGTAAAGAGACGCGCACGTCTGGGAAAAGGGAAACTGCTGCCTGGGAATCAGTGCTGTGCCTCAGTTTCCCCCTCCACACCCTACCAGCCAGACACAGGGGCTGCTGGCATGGGCCAGGGCGAGCACGTTCCCTTCAAGGCAAGAGCTGCCCTACAACTCTGTGCAAGGGCACCTGCGCCACCCTCCGGTGCCCCTCCCCCGAGTGTCCATCTGCAGAGCCAGCCAAGGACACAGGGACTGCACTTCGGCGGCCACCACAGTCATCTGGGACACACACTGTGCCCTGGTGGTGCACGTGGCCCACAGCAGACCCGTGATCGCCACAGGCCAGCAGAGGGAGGCTGAGCACCCAGCAGGGCAGACAGAGCTTCTGGAAACGTCCGTACCTGACCCTCCCGTGCTTAGATACCCTGGGAATGCCCAGAGCTCAAAACACATTCACTCAACAAAGGTCCCCTGAGTGCTGCACTGACCAGCACATGCAGGCGAGTCAGCAACCACGCCCTGGGTGGGGAGAGCCGGGCCTCTGCGGCAGAGGAGAGGACTGACCTGCACCTGACACCAGGCAGGACATGCATCAGGCCGACCCAGTCCTGCCCAGCCACGCGACTGCCAACGCAGAGCGTACCCTCTAGCTCAGCTCTTTTCCTGTAAAGGAAATAAAACTACCATCACGGGAACCGCTGGCACCACGCGTGCTTCAGAGACCCTGGAACAGAGAGGTGGCGAGATGGGCTTTGCCAGCCTCACACTTGTCCGACTGCAGAAGCGTCGATGGTTAGCGGCTCCCTCCCCTCCTGCACCAGCCCCCAGGATGCACCAGGGCAGGGGTGGGGTCTTAGTAACCATCTTAGCACAGATGCTAGTACATAGTAGGACCTCATTAAGCAACTGGCAGGTAAATAGGTGAATGGATACACTGAAGGCCCAGCCAGAGGAGCGCAGCTCTGCAGGTCAAGAGATGTCTGATGTCTGTAGCCCTCTCCCAGCTTGCCGTCCTCCTGGGGTGGGGAGGCCTCACTCAAGTCACGAAGGCAAGGGGCATGCGGGCTCCCTGGAGGGAGAAAGACCTCCCCAGGGGGAGGCTCTGCGGTTCACTACATGTGCCAGTGTGGCCAGGCCACGCACACAGAAGTCTGGTCAGACACCAGTCTGGATGTCTCTGTGAAGGTACATTTACAATGAGATTAACAGCAAACCATTAACACTGAGCAAAGCAGATCGCCTGCCCTAATATGGGTGGGCCTCATCTAATCAGTTGAAGACCTTAATTTTGAAAAACTAACACATTCCTCCCTGAGGAAGAGATTATTAGGTCATTGGGTCAGAAGACGGCTTTTAGACTCAGACTGAACTCTCCCTGGGTCTCCAGCCTGCTGGTGTAACCTGTAGGCTTTGGACTTGCCAAGCTTCCCAATTGCATGTGCTGATTCCGAAAAATAACTTGGATGGACAGATGGATGGATGATGGATGGATGAATGATGGATGGATGGATGGATGGATGGATGGATGGATGGATGGATGGAGGATGGATGGATGGATGATGGATGGATGGATGGATGGATGGATGGATGGATGGATGGGTGGATGGATGGATGATGGATGGATGGATGGATGGAGGATGGATGGATGATGGATGGATGGATGGATGGAGGATGGATGGATGGATGGATGGATGGATGGATGGATGGATGGAGGATGGATGGATGATGGATGGATGGATGGATGGAGGATGGATGGATGGATGGATGGATGGATGGAGGATGGATGGATGGATGATGGATGGATGGATGGATGGATGGATGGATGGATGGATGATGGATGGATGGATGGATGGGTAGATAGATAGGTGGGTAGATGATGGATGTAGGTGGGCACAGCCTATTGTTCCTCTGAAAGCTCTGGACTAATCCATTAGGCATGTACTAGTGGCCCCATTTGCACAGGCAGTGTGGGGCTAGCACAGAAAAACAGCCCAGAAATGACTCAAAGAGGCCTGCAGGATGATCCCCTCCAATCCTCGTTCACAAGAGGGAAGTCAGGACCCCGAGGAGGCGGCGGCTGGCTGGAGGCCCCGCTGTGGGGCAGCGCTTAAGCCCAGAACTGAAAACCACTGGCCCCTCGCTCATCCATTGTCCGAGCTGCACGGGGCTCCTGGAGCAGCGTTCAATTTAATTATGTGGAAAATGAAAAGAAAAATAATACCCGCTGCAGGTTTTATTGAGCACTTTTGTGCTGGACTCTAAGCTCCAGGCCTTTCTATGCTGATTCCATCTAATCCTCCAGCAGCCCTGGGGCGGCCTCGGCCCTGCCAGGTAAGTCCTGGAGCAGAGATGGCAAATCATTTCCTGAGGCCACAGCTGCCGCTGGTGACAGAGGGGTGCAAGCCCTCACTCCCACTCTCAATGCGGGGTTCCAGCGACCTAACTGCGTGGGGAAAAAGGGGTACAGGATGAAAGGGGCTAAGCTTCCCACACCCCACCTTGCCTCCCACCATTTGTCGCGCTGTCAGCTCATTTTGCAATGACGCTGGCAGAAAGGCTCACTGGGAAGGGAACGCGTGTTCCCTGATCCCTCAGCTGAAGCCGCAAGCTGTGTGGATCTGCTGTTACTTGCTAATGCTCTGGGCCGGGGGTGCGGGGGTGGCGGGTGGGGGGAGTTGGGGGGAGTTGGCAGAGTTTGGAGGCACAGCTCCCGGGTGTGGGGGGTGGATTGTAGTCTTTGCTTGGCAGCTCCTGCCTGGTGGGAGAGGAGCCTGCATCGCTCGAGGGCCCCAGATGGAACAGAACTGGAAGCAGGTTGTGAAAATAACCCACTGAGTCAGGCTCGTGAGCAGGTTCAGGGCTGAGCACCCACAAACAAGCTCTCTCATCTGACTCCCATAACAGACAGGGGTGTCTTCTCCGACACACAGCCCCAAAAACAGCCAAGAAAAGAACGAGGAGGGAAACTGTCAGCGCCCTCGATGCGTCTGCGTCTCTGCTGCTCTCAAGCACGTCAGCTCCTCTTCCCCTGACGCCCGCCTGGTGAGCTTGGAGAGCCTGAGCTTTGACCAGGCTAAGAGGGGCCCCCAAGTCACAGCCCATTTACCGCAGCAGGCACGGGGCCCCAGAACCATCTCTCTCCGAGTCTCAGGGTGACACTCACCTCCTCAGAGGCCACACGGCTAGAGACAGCTCCGAGCGCCCCCCACGCCACCCCGCCTCCCCGCCGGCGGCCCGATGGAGCTCTGTGAGGTGGAAGGCAGGGGTCTCGAGCAGAAAAAGAAGAAGAGAAAGGGCAAGCTCCTGCCTCTGCTCCCCAACGTGTGCTGGCGCTGCTGGGCGGGAGATGGGGCGCTCAGGGAGAGCGGGGCCCGCTCACAGGCGCGAGAGTCAAGGCGCGGGGCGGTGAGCACCCAGAGAAGGAGTTTCTGAAAACCGCTCGGTTTCAACCAGCTTCCCCAGTTACTGCGTGTTCCCTCTCGGGGCTCCAGACCCCGGGAACCCCACTCTCCAAAGGGCCGCATGGAGGAGGCACCCTATTCCCTGCCCCGGGCCTGCCACTAAGAGTGAGGTCCGCGAGTGTGGAGCACGAGGAAGGACAGACGGGTGAGCGCGGGGGACGCTCGGGAGAGCCCCTTCTGACGTGGCCCCTGAGAAGAGAACTGCCCCAGACACCCCCCAGAGCGGACCGCCGGGGGCGCGGCCGAGCGGACTCTACCTCCGAGGAGGGCGGCTTGCAGTAGCCGGCGCCGAAGACCAGGTTCTCCAGAGACAGGCTGGACGGCTCCGGTCCCGCGTCTGGGCTTCCCTTCCCGAGCCAGGAGCCTCTTCCCGGACGCGTGAAGCTGCGAAGGGGAACGGAAGGGCGGGACAGAGGTGCCAGGTGCGCAGGGGGCAGACCGCACGGCTGCTCGGGGGGCGACACAGTGTTTGAAACCAACGTTACTTCAATAAGGTTTTTTTGAGGATGTAGAGAGTGACGGTGCCATCTGCGCAGCCCTGGGGGGGTAGTGGGGCGCCTAGGAGGTGGGTCACTTGGAAGGATGAATCCACACACAGGTGCCGTGTGGGCGAGGACCTCAGGGTCACCCACACCCTGCCAGCCACTGCGCAGGGCCACCCACACCTGTGGAGGGCCCTGAGCACAGCCCCAGGGCGAGGACAGGTGGGTCAGGAGGGGAGGCTCGGTCCGACCTGGTCTGGGCCTGCCTCTCTGGGGCACGGCACGGGGCCCCGTCCCCTCCCTGAGCCCTCAGTGTCCTGTGCACGGGAGTAAAGACAACCCTCCACGACCCAGTGAGAGTGTCACAGCCCTGGGGTCCACGGCTGTCAGACCCACAGGGCGCTCGCCCTCCGCCTCCCCCCAGGAATGGTCATTAGGCCCCCGAGGACCCCACCCAGCCCCGTGAGGCTTCCTGGAGACCAGCTGACATGTACGATGACAGCCTTTAATTTTGGGGCCAGAGATGAGGAAAGAATGACATTTGACATTCTTACTGGATTCACCTTTTCCATCTGCATCAATTGACAAGCCAGTAACATCTTCCTAAGCCGCCTCCCGGCCTTCACATCTTTCCTATTTTTTTTTTTTTTAAATAGAGGCATGTTTTATTTATTTATTTGTTTGTTTGTTTGTTTGTTTATACAAGCACTGGGTACAGTCAGAAGCGCGGGAGGGTGAGAGAATTCACCAGAGCCAGAGCGGGGAGCAGAGCAGGCAGAAGGACCGAAGCACACTGCTGAGGGGAGCAGCGGGCGGCAGGAGAGGTCTGCGCGCCATGCGGGACCCTCCTCCGGTGGCCGGGGAGCAGCCGGGGATCGAACCGGCGCCGCAGAGGCCGCGGGCAGCCTCGCAACCCAGCGCTCAACCGCTGCGCCACGGGGGAGGCCCCACATCTTTCCTATTAATACCCCCGTGGGGGTCTTGCAGCGCCAGCGCTGTGTTCCGGGCATCGCGCTCTCCAGGCAGAGCCAGTCTCCGATGGCCGAGGTGGGCGATAAACAGCCTCCAAGACCTTCATCCCCATGTCGGTGCTCAAGAAATCTTTGTGGAAGGATTTCCTCCACGAGACCCACTTTCCTGCTGCAAAACCGATGGGAAGAAAGTCCGCGTTGTAGTTCCGTCTCATTCATTTATTCAGAGGCATCACGCCGGGCGGTGGGGCAGGTGCCCGTGCGGGAAGGTGGATAAGGCTCGCCCTCATCTCGAAGGCATTTGGGGCTGGAGAGGGAGGCAGATGCCGCGAATGGAGGTAAGACCAGGTCAGTGAGCACAGAATAGTTTTGCAAGTCCAGCTGCAGGAGAAGTGAACAGCTGGAGACGATACTCAAGCGGTTGGACTAAGAGGGTGACAGCCCGCCGAGGAAGCCAGTCTGCTGGGGCCCCAGGCCCCGCTCGGCGCATACACGCTCTGTGATGGGGTTCTAGACTTCTGAGGCCTCCATCTCTGTGTCAGAGGAGGGATCCCAGCGCTTTGGCGGGAGGGGTGTGAGGACCCCATGAAATCAGCCAAGCGCAGCTTCAAGCACAGTGTCTGGCAGACGGCGGTGACTCAGTGAATGCCAGTGGCTACTGTCAACAGCCGTGCAAACACAGCAAGATCTAACGTCGCCCTCTCCATACTCACACGCTGTCGTTGCTAACACCCCAAATAGAATCCAGGGTAAAGTAACCATCGCTGTGATTGGTTTAGAGCTGAGAACAGAAGTGATCTAGGGGCGAGCTAGTAAGGGGGTGAAGGCACATTGCAGAATATATCAGACGGTTCACCCGGGGCACATTCGGGGGATGAGCCACTGATCAATAACCACAGTGGCTCATTATCAGATTTGAGTGTAACCTTGATTAGCTTTCCCAGCAGATGCAAACCCCACAAGGGACATCCAGTGACACGCATGTGAGGGTTAAAAACTGAATTCTTCATTCTGTTTTAGGGACAGTGAAGGGTCTTTCGGTGGAAATTAAATTAAATGCTTCTTCTTGATTGTGTTTAACTGATACAGCAAAGACTGACTTTTCCAGCAAAACTCGAGCTTGTATCAGATAGCTTGTATCTGAGCACTTTAAAGGTGCTCTCTGATAGCAACTCTTCCTGCAAAATCGAGAGAAGGGAAGAGAAGACAGTCTCTTTTTATCACCTTCCCTGGGGAGGCCCAAGTTCTGACCGTGCCCAGCCCTCTTGGCCTCTCTCTCAGCGAGGCTGCTGCTGGTGAGCTTGCAAGAGGCTGTTTCTGTCAGGAGGTTACCACAGTTGACACCCCAGTCCTCAGCAGAGAGCTTGCAAATGCCAGCCCAGGTAAACCTGTCCCATCTCTCAGCTGGGCAATCCATAACTAGCCCCCTAACTAGTCCTTCTAACTAGTCACCTTCACTAGTCCCCCCAACTAGTTCCCTTAACTAACCTCACAACTAGCTCTCTTAACTAGCCCCCCATAACTTGTCCTCCCAACTAATCTCTCCTGCTTTTAGCATGCCATTCCTGGGGCTTCCCAAGTTCAAGTCCACTCTCCCCTGTTCCTGTATCTATGGCTCTTCGGGGGTTTTTGGACAAACCTGGACGCGGTCATGCAGGTGAAGAAGATTCTTCTCTGCGCAGTTTGCAGTGACGTCTGATTTGTAAATGTCTAGTCCATGGCCTACTTTATGAGAGAGAAGCCTCTATGTCTTTTTTGAGTTATAAACCATCCTCCTTGAAGAGTTGGTGTTTTATTTTATTTTTCCCATCCTTGTCCCTTTGCCCAGAAGCCTCTGTTCATTTACTAGTGTCTGCTGGTTTTTATAAGTATTTTGCTTTCCAGAATGGTCTACGATGTAAACGTCCAACATCTGTCGTTGTCATTGTGACTTGCTTTGCTGCACATCATTCCCTCAAACTCTCTCCATTTTGCTACAAACAAAAGCATTTTGCCTTTCCTTGTGGCTGGATGTTCCATGGAGTGGACAGTCCACACCTCGTTCCGCCAGCCCTCTGTCGGGGCTCTTAGGCCGGTCCTGGATGCTGCGCGTTGCTGCAGTCGGCATCATACAGCACAAGCTTTTTAGGTTGTTGCTCTTACTCACCAGATAGGTCCCCAAGAGCGCGGCGGCTGGGCCAGACAGTGTGTCCACTTCTAGGTCTTTAAAAGTGAAAGCAGTGGCCATCCATGATGGCTGCCCCTGGGCACATGCCCACCTGCGATGTCCCGGCTCCTCTTCCCACGCGTCCTCTCCAGCGCTCGCCGTGGGGGGCCTCTCAAGATGCGGGCGTGAGATGGCATCTTGCTGGGGCTGTGACCTGCCGTTCTCTTATTAAAAGTGAGCATGATTGTTTTTCCATCTACTGAGTTTCTGAACATCCGTGAATCTTTTCACCTTTGCAAGCACATCCTCTGACAGCCGCGGACGCATCACAGGTCGGCCCACCCGGCGGGACTGTGCACCCCTGCGGGCGGCGTCTACTCCACTTCTCTGTGCTCCCAGGGGTTAGGCCTGAAGCCAGCAGGTCTCATAAGCCAGTGAGGGAAGGGACCGTGGTGAGCCTGCTCCCCGACACAGTGTCCCCTGGATCTCAGCCTGGTGGCAGCAGCAGTTCCATCGGAGCCCAGGGCCAGTGGTCAAAGCCCGCCATAAGCCACTGGCCCTCGCCAGCTCTCTCCAGCCTCACTTCCCGGGCCCGTGGCTCCTTCCAGGTGCTTGAGTCAATGCCCCTGTGGGGTTTCCTCTGGGAAACCAGCACCCCTCTGGGCCCTCCCTATGCAGTGCCCCCTCTTCCTCCCAGAAACCGCCTCAGCTGCCACCGGTGCTCCCTCCCACCTAGTCTCAATTCCCAGGACATGGCTGGGTTTATGGTTGTGGTTTTTTTAAATTATTTTTCATTGCAGTAACATTGGTTTACAAACTGTGTGTGACTCAGGGGTATAGGCTCACACCTCTTCAGATGTGTGTCACCACCCCATACCCACCACCCCGCCACCAGAGCACCCCAAATCCTCACCCTCGTCCGATGCCCCACCACACCCCCTGGATCCGGCCTGGTCCGCAGGAACCAAGACACAAGTGCACGGGGCTCACTCCTACCTGACCAGCGGCTGCTGCAGAGCCACCAGGGCCGCGTGGACGGTCACCGAGATGACGGACAGGTGGAAGTAGTCGAACATGACCGGGACCTGGTGGTGCAGGCCTCTCCGGGGGTGGAAGTGCAGGCCCAGCGTGCGGCTGCTGATCATGGGGGCCCCGGCCACATCCCTGAGCCTGCAAGGCGAGGAGGTGGGCGCCAGTGAGCGTGGCCCGCTGCCCCTGCTATCCCCAGGCCGGCGCCGTCACACCCTCGCCCGGGTTAGCGCTGGCCTTTCACCCCTGCAAGAGCCCTGCCTGGTAGAGACAGGTGTCCTCACGGCTGCCAGGTGAAGGAACCGGGGCTGAGCACGGAGGGGCGCAGGGGCGCCACAAGGCTGCAGCCTGTGCGGGCTGGCCTCCCGCTCAGGGATGGACTGGGAGCCAGACTCTTGCCAGGGCTCACCCTGACTCTGAGGTACAGACTCTGAGTACAGACGTGAGGCTCAAGGAGGCAGGGCTTCCCCACCGCCAGACCACTAGGCAGACACGGGCTAGTGCTTGCCAGGGAAAGGGAGCTATCGGGGCAGTGTGGATTTTAGAAGCCCCCCTGGACACCACACCACCTCCTGTGTGACAGCCCCATGTCCTCGGACATGGCCTGATGTCCCTGGAGGGCAGAGCTGCCCCACCCCCTGAGAAGCAGTGGCATGAGACGGGTGTCAGGTGCCTGCCAGCCCTGACATGGATGCCGGGCTTCTTGGTCCTGTTCCCGCTCGGCCCTACTTGGTTCTAAGGGAGCCAGTTGCTGGGGTTCCATTTCAGAGAACAACGTCCATCCCCAGGATGAACTGTCATCCTTAAATCCATTTGATGTAAATGAAAAAATACGGCATTGTCAATTCTTCGCGTTTCCTGTTCTCTTAGCTAATCCAATACTCCATGAAAATGCCCCACTCTGATTGTTATTAAGTGCTGTGTATTATAGAAAGAAATTAACACAGGAAGCCTGGCCCCGGCTGCATCTGGGAAGCTATAAAGAAGAAGAAAAATTGATTCAGGAGGCCATGTACCGCCTGTTGCATAAAGCATCCCTCTCAATCTTCAAAATAGACCTGTGGGGTGCAGAGTCTATAATCATCCCTATTTCTTAAATGAGGCTACTGAGATTTGGAAAAGCACAGGGGTTGCCCAAGAGTTGAGGTAGCTGAATTTCATGCACCCCTTTAGGCCAATCCTCTGTGCACAGGTCTTCTATCCAAAAGTTGTTGATGCCAAGATGGTCTCATCTGCTGTGTTTGCTACTAAGGCTGCTTGATGGGTAGGGTTGGGAATGATTTCTGGACCAAGCTGGAATCAGGGTTGAGTGGTCGACTGGGAGGGTCCACCAGGGAACTCTGGCTGGGTGCCCCTGAAGGAGGTGGCCATGGGGAGATGGGGCAAGGATGGCTCTCAGCGAGACAAGTGAGTGGTAGAAATTCCAGGTGATTGAGGGGGAGCATGAAGTCAATAGAAGAAGAGGCTTCACTTCTGGGTTTGCAGGTTGGGAAGAAGGCCAGCCTCTTGCAGGACCTTTGAGCTCAAGAGCATGCTCAGAAAAGCCCTGGGGCTGGTGTGAGGCAGGTGAGACTTCTCAAAGACCCCACCCAGGGAGAACAGAAGTGGCGAGAGAAGCTGGTGACCCAGAGGTTGGGGTCCAGATAAAGACAACAATGAGGAATCCCTGATGTTGAGCCCAGGCAGTGTGGCAGGACCGTGGACAGAGACTGGGTGTGGCCCGCCTGGGCAGCAGGCTGCTTTCTCCACACACAGTCAGGTCTCGGAGTCTCTGCTGTGGTCCTTCTGCGGCTCAGCCCCCTCTGACTGGGCTCCATAGAGCACAGACTCCCAAACACTCAGACATATCTCTGGTTGGAACAGTCTTTGAGAAGGGGGAAGAGGTTCTGATAGGGGGACTGAACTTTGCAGGGACTGGGGCTCCTGTTGACAGCAATGGCCCACCGACACCGATCCCTCTCCATCGGGAAGGCAAAGCTCTGGATGAAGAGGCTGCAGAGATCAGAGTGGGACTCATTTGCAACAGCAGTCAGAGAACACCAAGGAATGCTAATAGGATGGAGGAAAGAAGCGGCCCCAACTTGGACTCTCCCCATGAGGGGGTCTTCAAGTGAGCTTGCTCTGTGTCCCCTGGGATGAGGGAAACACAGGTTTGGGCACCTAACTCATACTGGGAACGTCCTCAGAAGCCAGGCAGAGGGAGGCTGGATTGGCCCAAGGAGGAGGGGAGCAGCATTAGAGGGGGTCCCCACCAGCGTGGGGTGAAGTTGAAAGTTGGTGTTCACTTTCCAAGGGTCAGATATGGGTTCTTTGAGAAGAATCTCAGAGAAGCTTCCAGCAAAGAGTGACTCACCCAGAGGAGGCCTCACTAACCACAGCACTGCAGCTGGGGTGGAGGGAGCTACCTGACGGGTAACACACAAGGGCACCCCAAAAAACAGAGATAGTGGTGCCTCAGCATCTGTCCCTGGAGAGTCCTTTCTGCAACTGGACCTGTCAGCAAGGAATCCCCACCCCTCCTGCCAGCTCGTCCCCACCTCCTGGTGCCCGACCCCCCACACCCAGCGGGGTCGGAGAAGATGACATCTCGCGCCACACTCCACCACCGGGCTGTGAAGCCGAAGGTGGGTGGGCGGTGAAAGGGGCCACAGAAATAAGTTAGAAATTGGAGAGTTGGGGGCTTGGGGATGTGCGTGACTGGACTTCTGAATGTCTGACGAAGGACATCGCTACCTGCAAGAAGCCTGGGCGGGAGGAGGGTGTGCTGTGACGAAGGAGGGGGGAGAGCTCACAGGACGAGCTGAGAGGGAGCTCGCGTGCGCGGGACGTAGCCTCCTGCCTGTTCTGCCAGCAGGCTGCCCGCGGACAAATTCCAGCTTCCAGAGGGCTGGAGCAGGACCGCAGATTTGAGGACAGAGAGGCCGCGTCCTGGCAGAGCCCCTTTGATTCCGATGGGGCCTGCTGGGGGGCGGGGGTCAGCCCCATAAGGTCATCAGTCTAAAGACTAACATGGCACTGAGGTGAGGGAGTCGAGCGAATGTCGCATGTTCTGTGCCTGGCCCTGCGCTACCGGCCTAAAATGCAGGGAGGCTGAAATGAGCACATCCTCCCCCTGAGCTACGGTCCAGGGGGCGATCCTGAGAGCTGTGCTGGGTGTGACCAGGGCGGGAGGGGGTGCAGGGGTGCAGGCCGGGCCCCCGCACACTCACTGCTGCTCGCTGTCCGTGAAGTGCAGATCCACCTTGAGCTGAAAATCGACTTCGCTCAGGGCCTCTTCCACCTACAAGAGAAGCAGGTTCAGGGAATTTCAGCAGCAAAACAGGGTCCCCAACAAAAAGTTAAGTGGATTGATTTCCTGAAATTTAGAAAAAGATCCTCAGCACAAAGCCGCTGCTGCTGATGCTTCCGGCAGAATTCCCTGCCTGCTTCTGGAATTCGGCTGATCTGTGGGTATCATGGGCAGACAGAAGGAAGAGATTTATGTGTTCAAGTTTGGGGAAAAGCCAATTTGCAAAAAAAAAAAAAAAAAAAACATTAAGCAATAAGCAAGTTTCTCCAGGACAGGACTTTGCAGAACCTCATTTCCCAGACAGATTTGAGCCCAAATTCTTCCGCGTGGGAAAATCTCACCTGCCTGCTCTGGGCAGGTGGGGCAGAAAGAACGCCTGCGATGTTCTTTCCCCTAGAACCGCCCCCCAGCCTGGCAGGTGCTGCCTCCCCGGGGACAGAGGGAACTGACACTCTGGAGTGTGCGCCCTTCACCAGGAGCTCGGCCCCTGCAGAAAGCAGCGTCTTCACTCTGGTGTGGAAATCCGCTACATGGGAGGCACAGGCGCTAAGGCACATCACCCTTCAGGTCCCAGCCACGCTGCTTCCGTGCTTAGCTGTGGGAATAAACTGCTTTTGTGAATCAGCACAGAAGCCACTGGCTTCCCTGCCAGCCTCTCGCCTACATCAAAACCAATAAACACCAGCACCTCCACCTCGAGGGGAGCCACTTGCTCACCACCAGATCTCACGTCGCCCCTACTCAGCGGGGGAGCAGCAGGCACCCATGATGTCTGCAGACTGGGGGAGCCTCTCCTCTATCACCCCAAAGCTGTGTTTCCTTCCTCTGTTTCTCGCTCACTTCCCAGTAAAATTGTTTCAGGTTGGCAACCTGGAGGCCAAGTGCCAAATTTTCTCTGCAGACACATTTTGTTTAGTCCCGGCAGTATTTTTAGTGTGTTTTGAACAAGTTGCGACCATTTCAAAACCCAGTATTTTCACTTTTCCATTGCAGATTTCCAGTTTCTGAAAAAAACTCCCCGGATCCGGCCGTGAGCGCTGGCGCTCAGCTCCGTTTGGATCAGACGGCTGACCTCCCGCGCTGCCAGGCCTCTCCGGGCTGTGCTCACCCGCCGGCCGGCCGGTGCTGACATCTCCTGGCCGCGCCCCGCCTGTGCCCGCGCCCCAGCATCCCGGAGGCAGAGCCCGTGTGGGGGCAGCCGCGCCTGCCCGAGGCCGCTGTCGGGAGCAGCCCCGCTGCCGTGAAGACGAGGGCAGGTCTCCTGGGGTCTCCTCCACCGCCACCTCTTCTGGTTGGATTCTTTGCGAGCCAGTCCTCGCCCTGCAGGACCCGAAACCTCTTCCCCGAAGGCCTCTTGGAAACATGCTTCTCCTTAAACACAACTCAGGCAGAGACATATGGGTAGATTTTGTCTTTGGGCCCCTAGGGCTTTAAAAGTTGTTGTTAAAACGAAACATGTAAAGTTAATGCTTTGCTGACTCCAAGCCTCGGAGAGACGCCTCTGCTTTGCTCAGCAGTCGCGCCCCCACCCTTGGAGCCAGCGAGGGGGGCCAAGCCGCCCTCCCAGCCACCTGCCCGCACTGCGCGAGCCTATTGCCGTCTGTGCCTCTCCCCAGGAGACAAGTCACGGGCGGGGGAGCGGTGGTTTGACTCAGTAAATCTTGAACTGCGAGTGCTGCAGGACTGGCTGCGGAGCCGTCCATCCTCCTGGGAGGCGACAGCCGGGTCCTCCCTACACACGCGTGTGTGGGCACGCGCAGACAGGAACACGCAGCAGCGCTCACTCGCGTGCCCCTGCCTGCTGCTGCCTGGCCCATCCTGGCTAAAGCAGCATCTTGGACAAGGGGCCACCCCCCCCCCAAGGGGCATCTTGGCACCGGAGCAGAGGAAATGATCAGAGTTGCTAATGTGTGCACAAGAGCTACCATGTGGCAGGAACTGGGCAGCCCTTCTAATTTAATATGAATAAAGCTGAATCAAGAAACATTGTCTCACCCATAAATGGGCCGATGGAAACTGAGGGTGAGCCCAGGCTCCACTAGCTGGTGAATTCTGCAGAGGCAGTCAGCTTCCCGCACACCCCTCTTCCAGGGGGCAGGGGCTGAGGCCGGGCAGCCTCGCTGGCGGCTTCAACTCCCCCGAAAAGAACCCTCATCTTCTCTCTTAAAGAGTCTCTTGAAGTCCACCACGGCGGGCAGTGGGGGAAGGACCCCAGTCCTGTGGGCCTCACCCTCTCTACCCATCCCCACAGCACCCCCTTTGCCCAGATGCCCCCAGCTCTCTCATGGACACACAGAGGCCTCCCCGCCCGTGATCCTTGGGCCATCATCCCTGTGTCTGCCAGGCTGACCTTTTAAATCCCAGGTCCCCTCTCCGACTCCTAGAGGAGCCCCCCACCTTCGGGGGTTGGCGGGGTCTCTGCAGCCCTGCGACCTCCACCTTCCTTTCCAGGACTTTCTAGTGCCACCTCCTAAGTGCGCTTTCTGCCCAAGCCCGCCTTGGCTGGCCCTGCTCCAGCTCTCCTTGCTGTCCTCTGCCTCGAGAGCTCTTAACTGCCTCCTGTGGCCAGCGCAGCCTGCTCACACACAAGCAAAGCTCAGAATCAGCTCCCGCCCCTGCCTGCCTGGCCTAGTGATCTGGGGTGGGCACAACATCTGCATTTTGAACAACTGCAGGGGCTGGGATGTGGGTCCACCAAGGAATGCAGCTTCGAGAAATCCTTGTTTCTTTCCTTCTATAAATAGGCCACCTTGTCCGCAAACACTCTCTGACCCCTTCATGCCTCTCCCCTCAAGGCACTGAGCATCTTGCAACAGCGACCTCCTCGGCCTTGGCTTCCGGGCCGCCCAAGCCGAACACGGGGGCCCCTCTCCCCGACGTCCAGAGCTGCGAGTGGGCATTTTGGTCTGCCCCATCCCCCCAGGGCTGCTTGTATTTTCCCTCTACTCTGGCTCATTCTATGACTATTTTTCCCTTTTACTATTCTGTGTTTTGTAAGCCTTCCTGTCATCTTGGGGAATGACACAGAATAGATTAAGTAAAACACCTGTCCTACCTCCACACCTGCTTACTGTTTGCACCTGATGGTTAACAGCCCAGCGAGAGCCGTCCAGGGTGATCACGAGGGCACGAGGTCCTCCCTGGCACGTCCTTGTGCCCTCGGCGTGTGCAAGGAATGTCCTGGGCATGCAGGTGGAAGGGCAGCTCCATGTGAGATGGCTGCCCTGGACGACGGCCCACTGGACTCCATGATGGCCGTGTGGTGCCTGGACACAGACTCTGGGCCCTAGGCTAGCCCCAGGGCCTGGGTCATAAGCAGGTGATGTCACTGGAGAGGCGTTAATGCATCCATTTCAGAGACACAGTTCTAAGGTCGTATCCCACGTGCTTTAAGTACCTTGATGGGCGATAATGACTCTGACATTGTTTGTGCGTGTGGATGGCTCCCAACACACTAACACATTATTCGCTTGAGAGACAAATGGTTCAGGGTACGGAAGGAAACAAGATGTCAAAGAGAATCCCTGTTCAATCTGAGAACTGAGGCTTGTTACAACCTCCCAGGAGCTGATGTGGGATGCTGGGGAGGATCACGCTGAACAGCTTTAAATGATTAGGGGCAAGAACAAGACTTGTGGAATGACGTGGAATGATGGCCAGGCACCCTGGGCAACATCCCCCCAGCCCCTCTCATGGCCACTACCTCCCTCAGGCTCCAGGAAGGTCTTGGGGGTCAACATGCCAAAGGGTGGTGGCCCAGGAGAAAGGTTCTTCCTGGAATCTGGACAAGCCGAGCTGGGGCGCAACCTAGCTGAGTTCCTCAGTGCTCGGAAAAGCCTCAGGGTACCACGTCTTAAATTAAGTGTAGCAACCAGGGTCCAGGAAGAAGCAGACGATACACTCAAAATGAGGGGCCCCAGTAGAGCTCTCTGCCGGGAAGGTTTGCACAGGAGTGGGGAGGCCGCAGGGGCGGCTCAGCACCTGACACCAGCCACAGGGTGTGAGGCCACACTTCCTCATGTGTGGCGGTGCTCCAGCAGGAAATCATGTGGAGCGTGGCGGCAGATGTCACATGGGACGAGGGACCAGAGCCCGGGTTCACGTGGCAGGTTAGACCGTTGACGCATGCTAGCCTGATGGACGGGGTTATCAGTCTAGTTTCCTGCATATGGAGGAGGCACCCAAGCCTCTGCGCTTTCCCCCATGCTGTTCCTGGCAAGGGCTGCCCTTCCTCCCTCTCTGTCTGAAAGTTCCCAGCAAGAGCCCCTCCAAGTCGCTCCTTTGTGAAGCCAGTGAGCCCCGTCACCTCTGTCTCGTGCCCTTTGTTCCTGTGAGCTAAGGTGAGCACAGAGGCCTGCTCAGACATCTATTTCCTGATAAAGTAGCAATTGCTGGAGGGCAGAGGTCCTGTCCCCTTACATCTTTGACCCTAATGCAGAGCTGGGCCAAAGCAGGTGCCTGGATAAGGGTCTCCCTATAGGCCTAAGGGTTAAGTCTCAGCACAGTCACCATGGCCTGAGTTCAATCCCCTGCCAGGGAGCTGACCCACAGGGTGCAGCAGACCTCTCCTGTCTCCCCACTGCTCCCTTCAGCAGTGTATTTTAGTGGATCCGCCTGTTCTGCTCCCCACTCTGTCTATGGGGAGTCCTCTCACTCTGCATCTATGGCCTGCACCCCAGTTCTTGTATGCAAATATGAAAAAATGTTTAAAAGTGCCTGAATAGATGCCAAGTGCACAAACCCACACCGGGTAGGAGAATGAGCCAGAGGGAGCTGCTGGGATGTGAAACAGCCAAGAGCCAGACTAGCTTCTCCTCTCACCCCTGCCCTGCCACGGTGCAGAGCGCAAGGAGGGAGCAGCACGGTGGCTGCGGGGACCCCGGACTCACCCTCTCTCCATCTAGGAGCAGGTGCGCCCCGAAGACCACAGCATCGTTGACGGGGACCTCTTCATTCCTGTACAAGATCTGAAAGACCCGGCTGTGCACCGTGTTCTCGTGGATGGAGGCCGAGTGCAGGAAGCTGCTGTCTGCAAAATAAGAGTCAGGGGCGTCGTGAACATGGCACTGTCCTCTACCTGCTGCCCCTGCAGGGTCGGCCCAGCTCAGAGAGTCACGGCCACAGCTGCACTTGCTCCCCAGAGACTAAAATCACAGACGAAAGTGGCCCCAGCAAGGAAGGGCTTTCTGCGGGTTGGGGCATCTCAGCAGAACCTGACCTTGGTTCCTCCCTCCTAAGACCTTTGGAAACAGGGACAAGGGCCACTGCCACTGCCCAATGCACAGGAGCCTCTGGCCGCCCCGTCTTCAGCTGCAGAGTCGGCCACAGAGAGGATAAAACCGCGGGCCATTTCTGAGGCAGGGAAGAGGCACCTGCCCTAGTCACGCTTACGCGCGAGGAATTGAGATCGCTGGTCGAGGCAGCCTGTTGACACCTGCTGGACTCAAACGGAGGCGACTTTTTTTTTTTCTTGTGGGACCCTCACCAGCGACCAGGGAATGAACCGGCGCTGCAGAGGCCACGGGCAGCCTTGCAGCCCAGCGCTCAACCGCTGCGCCACCAGGGGAGGCCCCAACGGAGGCGACTTTTAAGTAGAAGTGACCTGAGTGCAGGCGCCTCTCGCTTCTGTTTGCTCCCCTGGCCCCTGCTCTTCACTGCCGGGCCTCAGCGGAGGACATGGCAGAGAGGGGTGGGGCAGCTGCTCAAGGTCAGAGGCACAGAACCAGAAAGAAGCAGGAGGGACGGCCCGGAAAACTGCCCATCACCTGCCTCCGCGGGCCAGTGCACCAGCCCCGGCGGCAGCAGCTCCCGCGTGAAAACAGAGCCTGCCCCCGGCCTCCTGGGAGTGGGCAGACAGGAGGCGGAGGAAGCAAATCACGACCCGAGGCCACGCAGGTCCTGGGCAAGCAACAGCTGGGGATTCTGTCTACACAGCGGCCTGCGCCTTCCTGGTGAGCGCGTCTCCAGCGGCCACTCTGATTCTGAGTCAGTTGACAGGCGAGACCACCAGACTCTCCTTCTTTGCAGGAGATGCCAAATCCCAAGACGCCTCATTAAGCCAGGATGGGACCCGTCTTGTCCCGTGGGGGCTGCCTGTGGCACTCGCGTCGCTGCTAAGTGGGTCCTAAGCGGTATCTGTAGGAGGAAGGCTCGGGGAATGCCACGCACCCCGGGGCTCTGAGACGGCGCCTGCTCGGCCCGCGTCTCCCGTGCTCAGGGACCGGCCGCCTTGGACACCTGCCCCCAGGCTGACCCTCCCTGGCCCCGCAGGAGAGCGCCCTCCTGGGCACGGCCTCTCTGCCCGGCCGCCTGCTCTCCTGCGGGCTCTCCTGCTCCCGTCCCTGGCGGCAGGGGCCTCACGGATGGCACACGCCACCTTTCCCACCCCCGGCGCTGGGCAGCCTGAGGGTAAGAGAAGACCTTGTCCGTGCCCCGGAGTGTTTCAAGTTGCTGGAAATGTAGAATGTTTTACTTATTGTTTGGCGCCAGATTGCTATTGAGTGGCCCAACGAGGAGGTGCAGACAAGTGTCCCCAGATGGCCCTCTCCTTCTGTTTTCGTGAGAGCTGGCCCCGTGCCTCTGCGCTGGAATTGGAAGGGGGAAAACCCAGGTGGACAGGAGGTGGGAGGAGGGAGAAAAGGGAAGACAAGAGAAGTGGGGGGAGAGGAAGACGGGAGGACTTCGTCCATGGGACCCCATCCAGAGAACACGCTTGGTCTGCACTCCGGGACGGATGACCGCGCCTGTCTTGAGTTCACAGCTGGAACAGAGGCTCCCCCCCTCGCCGGACCCGCAGCCCAGAGGTGAGGGTCACAAAGCGCAGATGCCGCCCTGACCCCGCCCTCTGCCGCCATGTCCAGCCCACAGCTCTCTCGTGGGCGTTTCCCGGAAACCTGAACCCCACGTGTGCCTCAGGAGCAAGACCATGGCTTTGCCGGCACCCTCGCCACCTGCCTAGAAAACCAGTCTGTGCTAAACAAAGTTTGGGAAACTCCCCAGCGCCCAAGACCTGAGGACACTGGGGCAAGTCTGGGCTGGCTGGAAAAGACTCTGCAAAGTCGTCACACATGCAGGCGGCACACGTGAGGGAGACTCCTGCACAGGGTCGCGGGGTGGGGCTCGCCGAGGCAGAGCACCTGCAACTCCAGGCCACGACGTGGCTCTCCCATGGCTCAGCACGGGCCTCCTCAGGAGCAGACGCCCCTCCAGGCCAGGCCGCCACTGCCTGTGTGGCCCAGGCCCATGGAATCCGGGCTTCCAGGAGGCAAGATTCGTGCCCGAACAATTTCCACACTGGGTGTGAGGTGCTGAGTCGAGGAGAATGTGCTCAACTGTAAGATTCTAAAACCCCAAGCAGAGTTCCTGGTAAGATGCCGGTGGTGACGACAGTGCTTCTTCATGCAGGACCATTTTCTGGCCATTTCTAGAAACAGGGTGGACAGAACGTCACCTGGAAGCCAAGTTTTATTAGATTTTCTGACCACTTCAAAGAGCAGGCAGGAGTGGGGCCTCCCTGAAGCAGACGGTCAGTACCGACTCAGGGTTAACTCCGTGGGCCACATCAGCGCTGCCTGGCTGGTGCAGCCGTGACCCTGCAGAGGTCACGTGTGACACCATCCAGGGCAGAGCAGGTGACACCATCCAGGCGGCCACCCCTGGAGGCGCTGTCTCCAGAGACCACCTGGGGCAAGCCGCTTGGGAGAGCAGAGACCTTGGAAGCCAGGGCCCTGGTGATGGAGCTGAGGGTCGGGGCTCAGGGAGACCTGTAGGTGGGGCAGGCTTTCCCCAGTCGGGGAGCACCGGCACCCCGTGTGCACGTCGCGCGGAACCTGTTCTGGGACATATAGGTACCGTGGTGAGCTGCCCCCCAGGGCGCGGGCTCTGGGTGCTCACACTTGCCCAAAGGTTCATGGAGAGGTTGGTTTGGATCTTTTGTGAACTGGACAGGTCTGTGGACCCACCTGACCTGGCACAAAAGCTGTGCCTTGCAAGTGCTTTGCACTAATGCCCAAGGATGAGCTTCTTACACAGAATCCTGTGGTTTTTACTATAAAAGATATTCATTTATTGTGGTTTTGCTACAAATATATTCTTTCACTCACTAGGTTACTAATCACCCGCTATGTGCCAGGACCTGGTCAAGACACGGGTTCAGCAATGCACGAGAAGGGTTTCTTGTGGAGAATTTCTATCTCCTGGAGCAGGATTGGGGGGTCTTCCTATTCTTCACCTCCACAGACGTCTCCCCATTTAAATGAACTTCTGTCTCCAGATCCCTTGCATTATCTGCAGCATCTTACACGTCTGCGTTGAACCAATTTAGTTGAGCTGGAAAGTCAGGTGCAGCAAACTGGATTGCGCGAGGATGGTCTTTACCAACTATGATCTGGAAAGCCACGTTCCTCTAATACAGCCAAGACTTGTGCTCCTGGGACCTGTGCTACAGAAGGTCCCTGGGGTTGTCTGACCTGAGTTCCAGGGCCGAGGGCGCTACCTCGGGAGTGAGAGTCTGGTGTCACTCAGGAGGACACGCAGGTCATCGAGCTTAAGTCACTTCTGTAGCTTTGACCACAGCAGCTGCTTGAATGGAGCCTGCCAGTCTTGTGGCTTTTTTTTGTTCTTCCAGCCCTGAGCTTGTTGATTCACTCACTCATGACTGAGCTACACCAGCACCCGGGCATATGCGAGCCATAATGCTCGTCACGCTACGCTACAACAATGACAGGGAATCGGCTTCAATATTTAGTCTAATATTTCCCAACTTTTCCTCTCCTCCCTCCACCCATGCTCCCATCACTTCTGCTGCTAAAGATGGAAGAGCTCGCGAGCCGGGACAGCGGCTGTTCACGTGACCGCCACTCGCAGGCGCACATTCTCAATCAGCCAATTAATAGTCCCGGATACAGGAAGGGGGTGACTGGCAGAATTTCCCCAAAGTTAGCAGTACCTGGAGGGCTGAGCCCAGCCTGCTCTGCACGAAACTCAAATGACAAAGCAGGTGGCATGGCCTGGCAGGAGTTCCAGCTCACGGGAGGAGACAAGCGAGCCGGAGAACGCAGGAAACGCCCCTGAACGTGATGGGAGGGAGCCAGGGCCGCCGCTCAGCCCCGAGCTCTCCCCACGCTGAGTGGGACTAATCACTTAATTATAAGCCACCGTGACCTACCCGATGGGGGCCCAGAAAGGCCAGCGCTTGACAACACTTCATTAGCCAATAATCACCTGTGTTGTACCATCTCAAAAGGAAAGGGTCTGCGTGTGGCCCGGCACACTCCCGCCTCCTGACAGCCACCCGCTGGACTTCCTTCACGCTGGCCTGACCACTGAGCAGCCGGACACGTGCGTCTATGTGTCTTGGTGTGTGAATCTGAGTCTCTTGAGTGAACCCGGCGCCTGGCTTGTACCCGGTGCCTTGGTGAGGACAGCAGGGGATGTGTGAGAGCCGTGGGCTGCTCCGGGCATAACTGAGCAAGAGCTCACCGGACCTGTGTGGTGGTTTCCTCACCTGTGCGCTGGGGGTGGGTGAAAACACCTGCCCAAGGCTGGGGGGTGAAGGAGAGGGCCTCTGAGCTCTGGGGACAGGTCCAACATGGAACAGGGGTGCAGAGAAAGCACAGGGACTCTACCCTGGATGGACAGGAGCATGGGGCTACTGTGACTGTCAAAGCCCCGAGGGCAGATCCCCCAGAACTCGCAGGGAAGTGTAAAGGGACCCTCGGCTGGGATAGGCGGGCGTGGTCCAGGGCAACGGGCTGGCCAGGAGGACAGAGTGTACAGGAACCCTGCCGGGAGACTTTGGGAAAGGTGCTGGCTCCCCCAGCCTCCTTTCTCAGGCAAAAATGACAAAAAAAATATGACCCCAAGGGGCAGCAAGATGACCCCGCAGCCCCACCTTGCCCGCTGATGGAAACCATGCAAGGCCGAGGTTGCTCACTCCCTCCACGCACCCCTTCTCGAGCCCTTGGGGTGCCCCCGCCACACCCCCTGCCTCTGAGTGCTGACCCCATCCAGGTGGGGGCCCTGAGTCTC